GGACCTCAGGTGCCCAAAGTTGAGTTAATCATTCTCTTCAGTTCATGGCGCACCACCACTGCTCTTTCCTTTGCTCACACAGTCTTTCTCCCAGTCCCTGCCTCTGAATACTTCACTAGACCCTCTAATAGCTTGAGCCAGTGATACATGATTTGAGCCAATGATCTCAACCAGGACAACTTCTATTCCCACCAGGGGACATCTGGAAATGTTTGGAGAAATTTTTGGTTGTCCTGAAGGGGTGCTACTGGCATTTAGGAGAGAGAGACCAGATATGCTGTTAAGTGTCCTATGATGCATAGGACAAACCCCCACAACAAAGAACTATATAGCCCCAAATGTGGATATCACCAAGACTGAGAGCTATATGTGCATCCTGGAAAAAAAAAAGTATAAATATACCCACACATGAATATATACATACACTTATATGTGTATATACATATGTGTGTATATGATACTCTTCGGGAGTTTGATTTTTAATTTACACAAATAGTATTGAGATACAGATCTTATTCAGTTTCTTACTTTTTTCATGTGTTATTATATTTGTCGACATCTTTCTATGCAGCTGCTCATAAGTCTAGTTCCTTCCTTTCTGACTGATGCATCATTTTCCATTACATTCATCTGTTGCATCCATTCTCCTACTGATGGATATCCAGGCTGTTCCATCTCCTTGCTCTCTGAGACAGTGCTGTGATGAATACCCTCTCTCATACATATCCCGCCAGACTTGTGCAGTCTGTGGAGCCCATCCTCAACCGTAGGCTTGCTGAGTAATAAACACTTAATTTTCACTAAGTACGTTTACTGCCATATTGTGCAGCAGTTTGCCCTCCTGCTAGCTAGGCATTTCTATTCCCCCATATCTCAGTATTATCTGTCTTTCTCATTTTGCACACATGTGGATATGAAGTAATATCTTCTAATTTTAATTTGTATTTCTTTGACTTCAAGTTAGATTGAGCAGCCTTTTATCTACTTGTAAGTTGTTATATTTTTCTCTTCCCATGAATTGGCTGATCATATGCTTTGAATATTTTTTCCACTGGGTTTTCTGTTGTGGTTGATTAGTGTGCATTCATTGTACGTTGTAGATATTGATCTTTTGTGGTGATGGATGTTGCAAATGCCTTCTCCCAATCTGTCACCAATCTGCCAATTTTGTCTATGGTCATCAGAGCAGAAATTCTTCAATTTTGAAAAAAAGAAATCTATCTATTGTTTAAAAAAATCCTTTCTGATTCAAAATCAGTAAAATACTGTCCTACATTTTCTCCTACTAGCCTTCCAAGTCTGTCTTTCACAGTTAAGTCTTTAATTAGATTTGACATTTATTTTTTTGTATAAAGGACCTGAAATACTGTTTGCATCTTATTTTTCTACCTATGAATATAGCCAATTTCTTAACTCTGTCTACTACCATTGTTAGTCCAACTGGTTTGTGATGACACTTTATCATACACAAAATATCCATTTGTAACTGGTCTGTTCCTGGCTCTCCATTGTTCCCCTTTGAACCATTTCTCCATTCCTCCATCACCACCCCACTGTTTGTGTTACTGTGCTTTGTAGTAAAATGATGTTTGGTAGGTCAATTCTCTTTCCTCTTCTTTTTCAAATTTTCTTTACCTGTGCATGGACTTACATTCTTTTATACACGTTTTATTTTATCTTTTAAAAGATTTTATTTATTTATTTATTTATTTATTTATTTATTTATTTATTTGAGAGAGAGAAGGAGAGAGCAAGAGAGAGCATAAGCAGGGGGAGCTGCAGAGGGAAAGGGAGAGCCTGATGTGGGGCTCTATGCAGGGCTTGATCCCAGGACCCCAGGACCACGACCTGAGCCAAAAGGCAAACGCTTAACCCATTGAGCCACCCAGGGGCCCCTCCATACATTTTTAAATCAGTTTGTCAGTTCCTCACAAACACAAAATCAGGACTTTGACTGAAATAATGAATTTATATATTAATTTTGAGGAACTTAACATATTTGTATGTTATTATTCTATCCATGGACATAGCATATTACTTTATTTATATCTTCTTTTTTTGTACTTTAATAGTTTTTAGTTTTCTTTGTAAAGATCTAGTGAATTTAATGTTGGGTTAATTACTGGACATTTTAAAACTGTGTTGCTATTATAAAGGAAATTAATATTTTAATTATTTAGTATAGGAAATACTAAACATCCTATACTGCTGGTATAGAAAAACACTATTTTTTTTTTCATTGACATTTTATCCTACATCTTTTTTAGATACTTTGTTGGGACTTCAAATGAGTCACAACTTGGCATCTTCCTCTACCAAAGTGTGGAAAGAAGGACTACCATCTCCCCAGCTAACAGAGGCTTGACAATTATTAAGCACTAGATGAATCTGGGAATCACTCTCAGCTTTGCCAAAATGTGGTCATTAAGAATAAAGAGAAGGAAGTCCAAAGCATGGACTGTAAACCAAATACCTAGGTGGGCTAGGTGTAAACAGCAGGGAATGGTGGGGATTGGGGTAAACCAGAAAGCACAGGCTCTACCTAAAAGAGGCAGACCCCCTTAGCTTCAGCTAATTCTTGGCATGCAGCAATGAAAGTTATTTTTTTTACATCTTCAGATTTTATTAGGAGAAGCCCCAAATCCTCCATTTTAAGATGTTAAGAAATTATTCAAATTTTTAAAAATACTGGATGGGCCAAAGAAATCACATTTGTGTGCTAGATTTGTTTCACAATCTACTGATCTACACCCCCTGGTCTAAGAATGTCCTAAAGGGAGGAAACAATAGGGAACTTGAACATCAACTCTGGACCCCACTCTTCTATTCCTTTCCCCACCCTCACCCCAAGTTGACTTCATTGTTCAGGATTCTATTCCAGTCAGCCTAACACTAGGCTCATAGGAAGTGAATTTAGAATTTGAGGAGAGAAGAGGGAGGTTGAGGCTTGAGAAGGTGTGAGCTAGACCCAGGTCATACAAGCTGAGAACTCCCAAGAGAACAGGTGCCTAAGCTGGGACATTAACTGTTGTGTGACCTACCTACCAGCTTCACCTGCAGTAGTTTGATGCTGGAACAACTCCAGCTCTTTACAGCATGACCTGGAGATGAGCATGTTTGGACAACTGTCTCAGATCAGGATGGCTCCCATGAGCCCATGTTCTGGAACTGAGCCACCTCCGACAGTGTCTCAGGTTGGTGTTATGGGCTGAATTGTGTCCTCCCAACATTCTCACATTGAAGTCAAACAGTCAGTATCTCAGAATGTGGTTGTATTCAGAGATGGGGCCGTTACAGAGATCATTAAGGTAAAATGAGGTCATTAGGGTAGACTCTGATCCAATATGACTGATGTCCTCAAAAGAGGAGATGAGGACACAGTCACACACAGAGGGAAGACCTTGTGAAGACATCGGAAGAAGGTGGCCATCTAGAAGCCAAGAAGAGAGGCTTCAGAAGAAAACAGCCCTGCTGCACCTTGATTTTGGACTTCCAGGCTCCAAAACTGTGAGGAAATATGTATCTGTTGGTTAAGCACGCCCATCTGTGATACTTTGTTATGGCAGCTCTAGCAGACTAATCATAGCTCTGTTCCCTGGAAATAGACTCTGAGATACAGGGTTGCATGTGAAGTTTTATGGGACCAGTGTCAGGAAATCCTACACAAAAACAAGGAAGGCAGAATTAGGTAGAGGGAGAAATTGAACTAGAATGAGATTGCCATCAAGGTGGTGTTCTGGAGTTGGGATGGCCCTACAGGGCTGTTCCAAAATGAGGCAAAAAGCCTTTTTTCCTACATAGGTCATTCTGAAGGTGAAGGGTGGCAGGAGGTGATTCCTTCCTGCCATCCCACCCCCGAAAACATTTGGCAAGGTCTGGACATATTTTGGCTGTCACGACTGGGCGATGGGTGTGTGTGTGTGGTGGGGGGTGCATGCACTGCTGGCATTTAGTGGGTAGGGCCCAGGGATGCTGCTGCTAAATATCCTACAATGCACAAGGCAGCCCCTACAACCAAGAGCCATCTGGTCCCAAATGTCAATAGTTCTGAGGTTGAGAAAGCCTGCCCTATATCAACAAGTCATTGGCCATGAGGTGCTCTTGCAAGGACATAACCTTGGGCAGGTCCCTAGAGCTGATGGCAATTCCCAGTGAGCCATCTGCACTCTTATGATCCCAGCCACTGAAGAGTGAGTGTTTGCCATGAAGAGAGGATCCAGGTAGAGCAAAGAGCCCTTTATCTGAACCCTAAGACCTCTCTTTCTTTTCTTTCTTTCTTTTTTTTTTTTTTAAGATTTTATTTTTAAGTAATCTCTACACCCAATGTGGGGATCGAACTTACAACCCTGAGATCAAGAGTTGCATGCTCTACCAGCTGCGCCAGCCAGACACCCCCTCAGACTTTTCTTTCTAATAAAAATAACAACAAACCATGCTTAGGACACTGTGTTGGGGGTTTTACCTACATTATGTCATTTAAGCTGCATGGAAAGTCGGGAGAGGTGGATTTTATGGTCCTTATTTTATAAACAGAGGGTCTCAGAGAGGGTTAATCACTCACCCAAGTTTATTGAGCTAGAAAGTTACAGAATCAGAATCTGAATCCAGGGCCATCGGACTCCAAAGTCTGGCTCTCTTGCAAGCAGGGAAGACAACTTTTGGTAAAACAAGAACAGTCTACATGACACACAGAGGAGAAAGAACACGGACCACAGACGTCACCCAGAACTGATATAAATACAGCGCCAACATAGCCAGAAGCCCTGAAGCAATGTCTGGAACCATGCAAACATCACAGGGGCCAGGCTCGGAGCGTGGCACCCCTGTAGAGGAGCCGCCTTCCACCTTCATATCTGTAAACATTCATGGGTTATCAGAAATAATCCCTCTCAGCAGGAGCACTCTTTTTTTTTGCCTCCTTGAGGAGCATGCATGGACCTTAGGACTTTGTATGAAGACAACAGTAACTACAAAAAAGCAAGAAAGCCACATCTCAGGAGTCAACGGTATAAAAATAATTTTTATTTACTACTGTAAATAAAGTAGTGCAAAGAGTAGTTTGGACCCACAATATTGCATTACTGATTTATTTACTACCTTAGCAGCATACAGTGAATGGACAGTCTGCTCTCCCTCTTCCTCTCTTTCTTTCTGTCTCTCACACGCACACACACACACACACACACACACACACACACACACACGCCCTTCCACAGACTCAGGCAGGCATAAGGGGTAGGGATGGAACTATGAGCTAAAGGCTTATTTCCTGCATATTCCACTGTCGCCAGTCTATTCTAATGGGTAATTCATGGAGAAAACTACAGTTAAATACTAAGAATTTTCTAAATGTTATTTTATGGATTCAATTGAAAAGGAAATGATATCCAACAATGTCACTGAATGATCCGGAAGCACGACCCTAGAAAAAGTCAAGGAGAAGAATGTGAACCCATTTACAAAGCCGTCGCCTTCCCTGCCTCTCCAGCCACAACTGATTTCTTTCAAGGTGCCTTACACCTGCTGGGCCTTGGAAGTCAAATTGAAATCTGCCTTTTGGACGTTGAGGAGCAGGGCTGTGGCCAACACACACCCCGAAATATTCTCTAACTGGTGGAGAGGTCACAATTTTCAGTACTTTAATGACAGGGAACGAACAAGGGGCTAAGATTCTTAAAATACATCTCGGTGTGTAAGGATTCGGATACGCCACAAGGCAGACTCTGACCCCCCCCCCCCATACACACGGTCACTAGGGATGGACTCTGCAGTGACCCAGTCAACCTCCCCAACACACCCCTGTGATCAGGGTGTTCCTTGTATTTGTGTGATAACCTTTGGTTTACCCACTGCCTGCTCTGGGTACTTCCTTATAATTGGATTAAAAAAAAAAAAAAGACACCAAGTGCAAAATTCGCATCCAGTTGACAAGAAATGTAAGATGTTTATCAGTATAATGCCCTAGCCCCAGCTTTCCAATACCAGCTGCTGACGGGCTTCTCTCTCATCCGGAGAGAGTTCCCTCTCAAGGCTCTGTGTTAGTAGTGACTGTGGGCTGGTCCTGAGCGGAGGCATCTGCAGCTGGAGTCACAGCTGGACTTGCGGTGGGAGCTGTGGGGTCTGCGGAGGCCCGGGCTGGTGTCAGATGGGAACCACTGGCTGCAGAGACACATGGATAGCAGGTACTGAATATTCAAAGCAGTGCATACAGGACACACAACAACACCTAAACCCTAGCAAGCCAGGGCAGATGCTTCTAGTCCAGTGGCCCTGACACTAATAGATTAAGTGACTCTATACGCATTATCTAGATTCCTTGAACTTTGGTGTCCCCTCCTATAAAATGGCGGATAGGAATAGATGTGCAAAGATCTCTGACGGTTCTGACATCTTGGGATTCTAAGTTCTGCATTTATGCTGTGGCTTCCAGGCAAAGGTTTGCATTTTTTAAAAAAGAAAGAGAGAGAGAAAGGAAGGAAGGAAGGAAGAGAAGGGGAGAAAAAAGAAAGAGAAAGAAAGAAAAGAAAGGAAGAAAGAAAGAAAGAAAGAAAGAGAAAGAAAGAAAGAAAGAAAGAAAGAAAGAAAGAAAGAAAAAGAAAGAAAGAAAAAGAAAAGACTGACTCTCTGGTCTATGTCTCCTGTGGTCATCTCTTTTTTTCTCTTTTTTTCTTGCAATGCAAGCCATGAATTATACCAGTCGATCAGAAAGGAGTGTTCGTTTTATTCACATTCTTACTCCCATTGGATGAAGTATCAAATTTGGTTTAAATTATGTTATTTAAATAAATGTGTATAAGTCTCAGAAATCATAATTATTTGGTTTAATTATTTATCAAACTACCTTTAGTAAGCAGGTTGAACGACCATAAATATTAGGGAAGCTTATAAAGTTTTGTACTTTATGTCGGTGGTTTTCAAATAGGGCGATTTTGGTTCCTCGGGAAAGTTGGCAATGTTGGTAGACATTTTTGGTGGTCACAACTGGAGGGCAGGCTGCTGCTGGTGGATCATGGGTAGAGGCCGGGGATAACCTGCCTACACCAAAGAATGATCCAGCTCCAAATATCAGTAGTGCTGAAGTGGGCATACCCTGCTTTCTAGACTGAGGCTGAGAGTATCCTGGCTCATAAGACTGTGGGATCTGGAAACTGGCCACTCTCCTCTAGAGTTAATGTATCTAAAGTGCCCAGAAGAGCGTCTGGCATGCACAGCTACTCAACAAATGTTAACCATTGGTACTAGTGATAGTCGATCTCTTTTACCCTGGAAATGTGTTTTAAGATTTATGAATTTCAGGGACATGGCTTGCAGGATTGATGAAAGAGTCAGCTGGCGCATCTGAGTCTGGGATCCCTCTAGCTCTCTTTCAGGCCCCAGGAGCCTCTGAAAACAGCAGACACTTTGAAGCAAGAAAGACAGCAAAGCTTTGAAGCCAGGAGTCATGTGGCTCTGCCATTTACCAAATGGGTGATCTTAGGCAAGTTACTTAACCTCTCTGAGCTGTGGTTTCTTCATCGGTGATAAGGGGGGCAGCAGTTTGCAGACAAGTGTGACGTGTGGCTAACCCAGTGGCCAGAGTTTGTGCAAACAACTGCTAGTGATCTTAATCAAGCTCAGCAGTCCCTGAGTCTTAGACAATTTTCAGTAGGTGGGGGCATTCTTAAAGGTTCCCAGTATCCATCCTGCAATGTATCGACTTTAAGAAGATGACACCACATTGACAATCTGACTTCTAGAATGAACTCTCCGAGAGTTCCATCTCCACGAGGCCATTCCAAGGACTTCAGGAACGAGCTCCAAAGCCTCTGGCTTTTCTGGATATGGAATTTCCTAGGAACCCCTTCCAACAGCTACAGAGTATTTTGTGGATCCAGAGACGGTTTTGAAAGAACAGGACAGTGATGGTGGTTGGTGGGATGGGGAGGAACCAGGGTATTATATGATGATGTGCTGTTTCTAGGTTAAAGCATCACTGATCTAACTATGGCAGGGAGCACGAGGCCCAGTGACGTGGTACAAAGACCATTGGCCAGAGTCAGGAGACCTGGTCTGGGCGAGTCTCATTTATCTGCCACTAACAGGTGACTTTGGGGTAGGTACTGAGTGGCAGACATTTCAGTCCTAAAATGTTTGAATCTCACGGGTCTCAATGTCCACATCTGTGAATTGAAGGACTTGGATCGGATGGTGTCCAAGACCCCCTTGGGCCCTGAGATTTATCTTTCTGATGATCTCTGAGGAAGTTCACAAAGTACCAAGGCATGCGGTTTTTTCCTTTTCAAGCTCCGGGAAGAAAAAAAAAGTTTAAATCACCATGGTAACAAGATAAAGCAGCAATCAGTTTTCTGATTAAAATCAAAAAGTGCCAATGTGTAAATGTAGAAGGAATGCATAATTGGCTTTGCCACCATTTAAATCTTCTTGTAAGAACATAATAAAAATCCTTGATGTTTCTACAGTAAATTTGTTATTACCCACGTGAGAACGCTCCCCCTTCCAACAGGGGGGTCACAATCAATGGACAAGCCCCCCCACAGCCCATCATAATTTTAAAGTGGCCTCTTTGTTTCTGCTCACCTGGAATGCATGCTAATTTGATTACCAGACTGGAATCAAGGTAACCAGGAAAATAAGTGTGCTGTTTGAAAAATTATAGAGTCTATTCCAGAGCCAAATCAGAGTGATTTTTGTATTACTTGCTGCTTGGGGGACCATTTTCTGTATAGGAGTGAGAATAATCGAAAGCTGGCCCTGTGTGGGGTAGACCAGAGTTTGGCAGACTGCAGCCTATGGGCCAAATGGGGCTGACTGGCTGTTTTCGGATGGCTTGCAGCCTAAGAATGGTTTCTCCATTTTTAAATGGTTGAACAGAAATCAAGAGAGGAGTAATATTTCGTGACAGGTGAAAAACATAAGAGATTCAGATTTTCACATCCATAGTAAAGTTTTACTGGAAACAAGCCATGCCCACTCATTTTCACGTATGGTCAGTGGCCGCCTTGGCCCTATAATGAAAGCTGAGTAGTTGAGATGACCCGCAAAGCCCCAAATGTTTATTATCTGACCCTTTGCAGAAAAGGTTTGTCAACCCCTATTGTGGACCATCGCAGGAAAAAGGTCTGCTTGCCAGATGACCAGATGGGAACATAAAAGAAAAGAATATAAGGGATATACTGAGTCAGTTCTGAGATAGTAGAATGTTTACAAAGATGGAGTCCAAGGGGGTGATGGGGTGGGGAGGGGGAAACCCCGGAAGTCCTGTGCGATGAATAAGATCTAGCCTACTTCACCTGGGCCCCGGGATCTAGTGGGACACCAAGACAAGGATAAGATTCATGTCATTTTTTAAACATTTCTCATGAGTAAAGCTACTGGGTCAGTGCCAAGGGTAATGAGAAAAGTGAAATCTCGCCGTTAAAGAGCTCTGACTTGAAGCCCTCTGCTTTTTTCATGAATGCCACTTTCTGACATTTCACTGTAATTTTAGTAGCAACCTCATTAACTGGAAATGTAGAGGACAGGAAAAGAGTAGAAACGGTTTAATTAATCTTGGTCATATCATCCTACCCGTTTTCGAAGACCACTGGGCTAACCACTCGGGCAGAAAGAATGAGTTGGCTTCAATTCTAGCTGTTTTAATTGGAACGACATTGGTTTAAGAGGTTACCTGGTCATACGCAGGAGTTGCTAGTTCGGCAGGTCTCGCTCTACGCTGTGCATTCTACCGAGACATCCAGTTTCCAGTAATATTGGTAAGACCAGACTCTCTCTGGAAGGGTACCTTCCATTTTGCCCCTTTGTCCTCTCTTTACCTTCCTTCAGGCAGCCAGCCAGCCTCCATGCTTTCTCGGTCTCCGGGGGGGCTTTCAGCAGGGCAGAAATGGAAACGGTTCTAGACATACTTTGCTTTGGGGATTTTGTTTTTTTTTTCCAAAAGCCTGAGTCCATTAAGGCAATTATGATCGGCGCCCCGACAGGGAGGGGAAAGCAGGAGCTCTTCAGAGACTCAGTGAGGCAGGGAGAGGAGTGTCTGGAGCCTGGGCAAGTGGCTGAGCCCATCTGTGGGTTGTACCGGGGGCAGCTAAGCCCTCACCTTGCCCCCTCAGCAATCTCAGACAGGAAGCATGGGGAGAAAAAAGGTGAGCAGCAAAGTCAGTGGGACTCCCAGGTGACCAGAAGCTGCAAAGCCAATGGACTTGGAGGGACAGAGGAGGCTCAGAGCAGTGTGCATTCTGCTATCCCACTGGTGGTCATGTGAGTGGTCCTACTGCCCCCCAAGACCCAGGGGCCCTGGCGCTCCCCTGAGAGCCATCGGTCTCAAGAAAGACTGAGCTGCCTGGTAGAATGCAAGCCAGGAGACAAAAACACGTTCCCTTAAAGGAAACAAGAGATGTGTGATATTTTTCATATATTTGTTTTGGTTCTCTTGAGAGCCTGGTCAGTATCTTTTAGACAGTTGAAAAAAAGAGTTTGATGTTGTAGAAAGAGTCTAACAACATAGAAAAACCCACGAGGCTCTGGGAATTGTGTCTGTTCCTGAGATAACCCAAGCTAGGTAAGTGCAGGCGCTACTTGGTGTCAGCATGCTTTAATTGCAGGTGGAATGCCCCAGGATAGGATTCCTTGGGGAGCGACCAGCTACCATTGTTGAGTTCTAAGCACTTTACACTGTGTTATCTGGTTATTTGCTTCTCTCAACTACATTGGAAAGTAGGTGTACCGCTATTGTGGCTATTTTACAGAAAGGGAAACCGAGGCACAGATGGGCTCCCTCCCCTGCCCAAGGTCATGCAGTGAGTGGCAGGGCCAGAACCTTAGCAGCATGACTCTCGAGCCTGTGTTATTAGCTACTGTCCCACACTGCTAACCTTCTGAACACGGGATAATTTAGCGTGACAAACGCGGTGGAGTGTGGACTATATATCACAGAGCACATAAACTCAGGAGGAAAGTGAAGGTAGTTGGAGCTGAAAGCAAAATGGATGGACAGCTCAATTTAAAAGTTTGACCATAAATCACTAATTTTTTAAAAACAACTGACCGGAAAAATGCAAATCGCGAAATGCCAAAGATCCCTAACTTAGAGCAGAATCCTTCCACAAGGCTACTTAAGGGAGGCTCCTGACTTTCAAAATTTTGTCCCTCTTAACTGTCACTCAGCACCCAGACTTCGTTCCTGTGCCGGCTTCACACCAGCATCCGCTAGAGGGCGCCCCCTTTTCCCGGGGCAGGTCGGGAGACCTCAGGCAGCAACCAGGTCCTGGGCGAGGCACCAGGCCTAGCATCTTCGCCCTCTGAGCAGTCTTCTCTCCTGCCCCTCTGAACCTGCCTGTCTCCCACCCCATTGCCTAGTCACTGACAGAGTACCTTCCTATTTCAAAGTTGGGCTTTGTTTTTTTTTAAGATTTTTT